ACATCACTTATATACTTCAAATAAATAATTTTAACTTTGCAATTCATTTTATGTAATACTTAGAAATATTAGACATTGTTTTTTATCTTAAATCCGATTGATTAAGTATTGTTTATTTACTTTTTGTAAAGTAAGAATGAAAGTTACAATATTTATAATAATCTATTTGAAAACATTTAATATTCCTCAAATATTTCAATAACACACGTGAAGTTTCCGCAATTTGCCTTAAGGCACAATGCCATAAACCACTGGTTTTTGAAAACATTTGAACAAATTATTTAGACCATGCCTAAAATCTTATGAATGAATACGGATACAACATTCATTTAAATATAATAACTTGATGAAATAATAAATAAATTAAATATGGATTCATCATCCGACAATTACTCTTTGTATCTATTTTACCATAATTATATCGTTAGCCTTTGTAGGTAGAGATGTACGGAAAAAGAAAACAAAGGCCTCAACTGCGCTCTGAAAAGAACGATAGTAATATCGGTATGCGCGCACTGCTGAACTAATACAATAAAATTTTAATTTTTATTTTAATATACGTACAAGTATTTTTCATTCAAAATATGAAACTCTGATTTTATCTGTGTATGTGGGTTTCATTTTCTTCACGTCGGTGATTATTAATTCGATATAAAGAGCGTGTTCGTTGTATTTAGTGCGCTTCCGGTGCCTATTCAAACGTCATGGAGACGTCACTCATATGTACAAAAAAACTCGCTTTTTTAAATTTATTATGGTTGAATTAAGCTGTAATTAAACTATTTAACACGTTATTTGTAGTTAAGGTCTTAATTATGAATAATATGTAAATGTGATGTGAATTGCACAAGCATAAAAAATACATCTACGAAAAATTGGAAAATGCTAAAGTTTTGTAGATTTATTTATGATAAAAATATTCGCGTTACCAAGATTTTTTTTGCTTGATGCACATAGTAGTATGTAGGTCCTGATTTCATACAACGAGCGATCCATGTAATTCAAACTATAGTCTAAAAGCTAAGATTTATAAAAAATGACCCAGATCAGTATTGGATTTACAGTACGGGCAGTCGCGGTTAGTGTCCAGGGCGCCAAAATTTAAAAAGTGAGAAAACACTTACCGTCGACTCTTTAAAAGCAATGTAGTCTCCAGATTTGTATTAACGTAGGGCGCGTTGACTCTATGCAAAAATGGAAACTTGTTCGAACAGACATACTTCATATTTCTTCCTTAAGACCCTATCTCAAAATCATTTGCAGTTATGACGACTGTCATACGATTGTGTCAAAGTACGGTTGTATTTTGGCACAACAGAAAAATAAGATATAAAAACTATTTAATTAAAATTTCAGTGATAGGGCGATATAAATTTACAGATAAATTTCAATAATAGAGCGGCATATTCGTCAGTGCCCCAATAAATTTAAATCCGGCTCTGCCTCAGACATTTGTGTTTCTTACTTAAAAATAAAAATTATTAGCACGAATCGTGCTAAGGATATTAGTTAGCCTTAAAGCACATTTAAAAAAAAACCTAATAGATTAAAATTTTGGTGATTGTTAGTCAAAGACTAACTGGATATTTTAAATAAATACCAAAGATTTTTATCTAATTTAAATGTACAAATATTCTGGATATATATATATATATATATATATATATATATATATTCATGAGAATATTGATTAAAATATTCGTCTCCCTAGTCCAATTTGAATGGAACAATATAGTTGGCACACAATAGCGTTAATCTATTAATCCTAGATTGGTTCGGCTTTTCGTGGTTTTATTGTCCTGGGCGATGTTACTGACAGCCGATAATTATAATAAAGAGATAGAGCAAGTCTACGAATATTTAATTAGTAACGAAAATAATTCATAAGTTCCCCTGCGACGATACATTCGTTATCAAAGATCTAATAGACTTGCGATCTTTGTAAATGAGAGTGGAACCGATTAGAACAATTTTTTTTAGAATTCTAGAGCCTCCCCCCATGATGTAATGCCTGATGGCGGTTGCCATGGGGATAAGTGGCAAGAAATGAAAGCAAACGGTATTGAGCACGACATGCGGAGACAAAAGAATTAGTCTGGGATGCCTAAATGCATTTCCTTCGTTATACAGAATAAAAAATCTTCTGCAAACTTTCGTTTAAATTTAGAAATGATTTAATTTGGCAATAAAGGAGATAAATATAAACAGCAAATTAAATAAAATTTCAATTACACTTAATTAATAAAAATTTCTCCCCCACTAGACAAAATAACATTTCCTTTCCTATTTGTGAAAATCGCTACCTATTCCCGGAGCGAAGGTAGCAATTACTGGGCTGGGATCCAAATAATTAACCACAAAATGGCCAAAAAGGATGTGTCGTGTGAACGAGTACCACTTAACACAAAATATAGTCTACAGGTTATATCAAAATATACCTCGAAACCTAAAAAAATACTCCACACAATAAAAAAATGGTCCTAGGTAAACATTGCTACTGCAGAAAAGTGCTACTGTGCGCTCTTTGAGGTAAGGGTAGTTGCAAACTAAACATTGCCGCCTACCTTACTAATTTGGAGGAAATTGAAAATTATATGGTTACGAGGTTCCAGAAACTGTGACAAATGAAAATAGAATGATGATGAAAAAAA